CTTGTAGTAGTTCTTCTGTTGGGTTTCTGGGATTTTGATTATTATATGTCTAGGTGTAGATTTTTTTGATTGTAGCTAGTTGGGGTCCTATATGCCTCAGTTATCTGAATGTCAAATTCTTCCCTCTGTTTGGGAAGTTTTCTGTCATTAATTCTGCAAACAGCTTTTTAAAGTCATTTGTATTTTCTCCTGCTACTTCATGTATTCCTATCAGTCTTATGTTATTCTTCTTTGCATCATCTAGGAGTTGTTGGATCGATTTCTCATGATCCCTTACTGTTTTTAAGAGATCTCTCTTTTCATGGTCACTTACTGCCATCTTATCTTCTATATCTGAGAGTCTATCTTCGTATTCTTTAATTCTTTTGCGTACACTTTCTATGGAGTGTTTAATCTCCTGGATATCTGTTTGAATTTGTTTTATGGATTCCATTTCTTTCCTATGCTGGGCGTTTATTGTTTCCATTTCTTTCTTATGCTGGGCCTTCATGGCTTCTATCATGGTCCTGAGCTCATCTATTTCTTTGTCAGTTTCTGCTCTAGAGTCTCGAATCGCAACTTCCATTTTGCTCACTATCTCTATGGTTATTTGGGAAATTATTTCTGTTTTGAATTTTTCTAGAGCCTGATTGATCTGTTTTTTTACTACCTGTGCTTTGAGTTCAGGGTGTCCTGGTGGTTCACTATCGGCCTTTTCGTCCTCATTTGCCCTACTGTTTGCCATTGGTGAACTGGAAGTCTGTCTTTGTGTCTTGCTTAAGTGTCTTCTCATTTTTATTTTTGTTGTCAGACTGTCCTTGGTTTAATCTCTGGATTATCACCCAAATCTTCCTGATATAGTTGCGCCCTAGCTTCTGTGTCTCTAATGACCCACAGACATTCTCATCTTCATAACATCAGAGAAAACAGCTCATCAAATCAACCGGAATGCTTTATCCCAACTGATACAATCAGCAACACGTTAAGATCAAGCACAACTTGGACAATGACCACCTGTGGTAGTCACTAGTCTACCACCCTTAAATCATTTGAATTAAATTGAAATCAAGAAGCAGTCCAGAACATGTCTGCAGTGAACAAAATTTCAATATAGTGTATTTACCATTTAATGGCTCAGACAGAGCGAGGATGCAAGACCTCTGATCTCAGTTAGCTGATGGCTGAACCCCATGAAGCTGACTGACCTCGGGCTGCAAGGCCCAGTTTGAGTTCCCCAATCTTCTGAATGGTTGAACTCCACAATGTTCTATTACAGGTTTCCCACACCCTTTCTTTAAAGATGTTCAAAGTTGGGAACTCAGAAAAATACCCTTGATGGCCACCTCTGCCTCTGCAGAGTGGGTCCAAAGACTGGCACAGTCAGGAGGTCTGAGAGTTCCCTGCCTTTCTGGTGATCTTATCCTGGGCAGCTGCTGTTACCTGTGCTCCAAGACTGCCCGTGTTTTATTGTTGGGTTACAACAAGGATGCTGCGATCTGCTGGGCTGCCTGTCCCTTCTGGGGCTCCTATGCAAAGATAGCATGATTGTAGAGCATTTTCAACTTGTACTTCTCACCTGGGACTCACATTTTCATAAGGTGCAATTTATGAAAATGGCCGATTCTTGTATTTTCTGTTTCTAGTTTTTGGAGCAGGAGGGGAAATCCAGGCTGTTTCTCCAGAGTGCAAAAGTAATGTTTCCTTTTTTTTCCCCCTTCAGTACTGGGGATTGAACCCAGGTTCTTTGCATAGAGCTACCATCCCCAGCTCTTTTTTATTTTTAGCTATGTTCTTGATAAGTCACTAAGTTGCCCAGGCTGGCCTTGAATTTGCAATCTTCCTGCCTCAGCCTCCCAGACTCCTGAGACCACAGGCATGTGTCAGTGCCTCAGCTGCCAGGCCCTTGTGAACGCTCATGCTACTTCCTACAGCCCAGGAGGGCACCAGGTACATTCCTACCCCAGGATGGGTGTACTCCTTGGTCACATGGCACAATGAGCCAGAGCCTTTAGCATTTACCCCCAAACTGCCCGAAATTCCAAACGGCCCCTCCAGCAGAGCACGCTGGCCTTGGTGTACAGCCCCTGTGCCCAGGGGCCTCACTGTGTGGCTGCTGTGACCCAGCGCCATGTCCTCCTGTCTCCTTGCTTGGCTGCTCAGCTATTCTCCTTCCTCTGTGCTCACAGACACTCTCCCCCTCTGCAGAGGCTGTGGAAGCCCACGCCCCCAATGTTCCTGAGGGATAGCAGTGGCCGTAGCTCCTTCTGGGTTCTGGTCCCTTTGGTGTCTCCAGGGATGGCTCTGAGCCGAGCCCGAGGGCCTATTATTGACAGCTAAGCTAGGTAAATGTGTTCTAGGCAGCCAGGCAGGGCCAGGCCTCATGATGAGAATGGGGAGACCAGGCCTGCACCCCGCCAGGAGTGAGCATGGATTGGGGTTGCACTCTCCTGGTCCAGTAAAGTCTGGGTGGACATCAGTAGCCACAGTGGGTGGCCAGGACCCCCTGGTTCATCTCTTCCTAGAAAGGTCCCCTCGCTTGGTGACCTGCTTTCCCCCAGGTCAATGTCACCTAAGCAGCTAAACTTGTGATCTTACTGGGTAGTCCTAGTCTTGTCTCACATTGTACCTACCTCGTGATTTTGCTCTATAAAGTGGGGTCTACAGCAACCCATTTTTTGGGTCTCCTCCTGTCTCTCAGGAGCACCCTCTAGCTTGCTCTCTTAATAAATTTTTCCTATTCTTAACCTCCGCTGTTCTTAGAACTCATTCTTTCATGTTAGGTAACATAAGCTTGGTGTGTCTGGCATCTAGCAGGTTGGGAGTTATATTTACTTCTCCTGTATTAGCAGCAAGGAGTGGGGCTGGGCTCTGGGGCTTCTTCTCAGGTCCCTGCCCTGGGCTCCCCCAGGATGAGCTTTGGGACGGTTCCCGGAGTGGGGACCGGTACTGACCCAGTGACTGTGTGGGGCCACCAGTGTAGGGCCGGGGCCCCATTAGCTCCCAGGCAGAAGGATGGGTGAGGACTGGCCGGAGAGCATCCTAGTGTTTAGGCAGGCCTGCTCGAGGTGAGGGAGAAGGGGCTGCAGCATCTGAGTTCCAGCTGGAATCATTCCCAGGGGCTGTCTGCTCTGATGGGGCTGCTCCTCAGTCTTCTCTCCCTTGGGAGAAGAGGCAACACTTTGGTCCCCAAGGACGAGACACCACTGGCAGAGTGGCCTCCCGCTGCTTTCCCAGGGCATTGTTTCCTGAGCAGGGCTCCTGCACCCCATGAAACTTACAGCTCATGGACCTGAATGGTTTACTCCTGTTGACCCATCTTGGTCCACTCAGGACACTAGCAGGATGGTGGCAAAGCCCTGCCATATCTATGTGAACAGCATGCATGTGTATCTGAGTGTCGCTGGGTACTCAGACTCATGAGCTTGCCCCTGATCAAATGAAAGGGGGCCATTTATTTTGGTAAAAAAGAGGATCTATCCAAGCCAGCTCTGAGGAGATGCAGGGACCCATTTGCCTCGAATTACTACCTTCCTGTGGACAGGCGTATTGGGGTCTTTTTTACAGCAAGGAGTGTAGAGGAGGACAATGAGATGACAGACCCATGCCACTCTTTCCATCCTTGCCTGGATGGGGACCTCTCCCTCTGTCACCCAAGGGAAGTAAACTGGTGCCCATTACTCAGGCAGCTTTCACAGACCCATCCACCCTCCCGGGAGCTGCTGTTACCATCCAAACAGGGCCAGTGCTTCATTAAGGTGAAGAATGAAATTGCAGACAAAGGAGGCAGTTAAGTGGCGTGCTGATTGGAAGTATAAGAAGAAGGAAGCTCTCAGTAGTTGGGAGGGGACCTGAGAAAGGGCTGCCAGGGTAGGCTTTCGTCTAGGGCCCTGTGAATCTAGTGGTCAGGGCCCCAGCCATGAGAGGCCAAGGTGGCTTAGGCTGTAGAGGTTGGGTCCACGCACTCATATAACCTGCAGAGAAACAGCACGCAGTGGCCATGCACTGATCGCACACACTTGGGCTCATTAGGAATCTTGCTGTAGAATTTAGGAGAATGAAGCAAAAGGGAGGAGGGGATCAGCTGCAGGGGTGCCTTGCCTGTGTCCACATTTACATTCCTGAGCTGGGATCTGCGTGGACAGACTTAATGCTTAACCTTGTGCATGTGCTGTTTTCTTCGAAAGGCCAGCCAGCCTGACTGCCTCTTAGGCCCTTCACCTGCCAGCTGCCTATTCACAAGCTAAAACTAAGCTGCCTCTCACAATACCATCTCTTGGCCTCTGGATGTGGGGGCCCCTTCTCCTCTCCAGGACTGGCTCCTGGGCTGTGTGGCTGCTGCATCCTCCTCTGGGCTCGTAGGGACTGCCTGGCCTCTTTGGTTTTTTCTGCCTTCATTATCTGGAAAACGAACCCTTTTCCAAATCTGGTACTCAGCACCAACCCCAGCACTACCACCCTCCCAGGCAGAAGGCAGTAGCCCCCTCCAGGACTCAGCTTTCCCATCTCTTCTGGGGAGGGCTGCGGATAGTGCAGTGACCTCCTTTCCTTCCTTCTTCAGCCCCACTTGGGTCCCTGGGGCTGGTTGGGAGGTCTGTGGGGGGAGACCAGACTCCTAGGCAACAGGCCTTAGGGACCCCACTTCTGGCAGAGCCTGAGGAGTGGGGGTGGGGACCAGGAGTCCAAAATAGTATGGCTGCTGTTTGGTGAGGAAACAGACTTCCATGAATTACACTTTTGCAATCACCTGTGAGGTCCCAGGCCTAAAACGCTCCCGCAGGTCACAGTGACACTCTAAGTCACACGAGTGTACACATTTCTCCTGAATCCTGGCTGCAGGGTCACCCAGTTTCAGAGCAAAGCACACAGTACTCCAAGAACACAGCACTTCTGGTGTCCCCCACAAACACGGAACCTCTTAAAAAGGACATTTTGCAATTACAAAGTAACTTCCAAGCACCTTACTCACCAGTCCCTGAACCAGAGTGACCTGGCGTGTACAAAATCAAACCTACGTCCCCACCATGGGCAGACGCCTTAGCGGTTTCCCCCGTAGTAAATTCTCCCTCTGCGAGGTTCAAGAGCTGGCTTCCCGGGTCACCGCTGTGCGCGACGCCGAGGCCAAGTCCTCCGCGCAGACAAGGCTTTCCCGGATACCTCGCAACCACAACTGCATCGAGGTCTAGCGCAAATGTGACGCAGATTAAGCAACTGCTTTGCGACCCCACCCAGTACGCTCCTCACTCCTAGCTTGAATTTGGGTTCCCAGCCATGGCCACTCCGATGTGACTCAGGGTACCCAGACTTGATACTGATAAAACTGCACGCACAGGGTGCGGACAAGTCCCACCGCACCAGCCACTACGACAAAGCGCACCCCCTCTCCATCCGAGCATCCCTAGACCCCTGCCAAACGCGAGTCCGCCCAATCGCCGGATGCCACACTCTGCGCAAGCGCTCCGCAAGCGGAAGACAGCCAAGTTTTGATTGCTATGCTATTGGCGAAAGGATTATGAATATGCAAACGAAGAGACCCAGTTAGGTCTAGGCCCCTAGAAGGGACTGGCATCGGGGCGGGGCTAGAGGCAGGTACGGGGAGGAGCCGGGAAGAGGTCTGGAGAGAGGAGGCGGGGCTGGATAGCAGAGTGTCAGTCCCAAGGACGGGAGGGGACGGGGCATGTCAGGGGCGTGGCTCAGAGGCATAGAGGGCGGGCGCGGGGGCGGGCCGTGCGTTCTGCACTCTGCCGGATTCTTAGCGAGGCCGGGAATTAGGATCCAGGAAAACTGACGCCGCCATGAGCGCCGTGGACCTTGCC